CAGACACAGAACATTTTATTACTTTAAAGTTCTGTTGAACAGAGCTGGTCTAGACACTAAAGTAGGAATCAGTAAACTATTTTTCTGAAGTTTCCAAACAGTATATATTTCAGCCTTTGCAGGTCATTCAAAACTCTTATCTTGACTACTTGGTTCTGCTATTATCACAAGCCAGCCATTGATAACACATAAATGAGACTGGCTCTATTTTAATAAAATCTTATTTATAAAAATAAAGCTGGATTTGGCCCACAGGCCACAGTCTGTTAATGCGTTTTATAGTATTTTGAGTCCAGACTCCTGAAAACAAGCATTATCCCCATACCTATTACCGAGGATTATCTGTGAGACAGAGCAGTCATAAATTCACAGGTGGGAAAAACTAACAATGGAATTAAGTAAACTGAATATTTAATGTAGCTTTTCTTTTACAAAGCAAGCCTTGTGTACACTAAAGCAGATGAAGCTTACAGTATTCCTAACTTGACAGTACCTAAATGCATTTGATACCTGGCACACAATTCTAACGTCAGTAATGCTCAGTTCTTAACTTTGGCCCTGACATATTCCTGGAATCCTGCATTTATACAGCTTATTACTCATCTCAAAGGCAACACATGTAAGACAGAACTTTTAAACGCTTTCAGAGTTTTCTCAATCTGAAGTAAAAGGCTCCACCAGCTATCCTCCTTATTTCTCCCGTTCTCTCACAATCCAACAGACACTACTGGTAAACACAACTAGTTTCCTCAGGTCACCTCCTCAAAGCAGCCTAACCTGACCAATCTAAACAATCTCTAAGCCACATCTTATTTTAATTATGTACAGAATATTTACCTCTATTATACCACCTTAGTCATTTTTTACATTTATTTATTTACAGTCTATTTTCCCAGTCTTCTCCCTAACCCATGTCCCTGGCCCAAGTCTCACCTTCCTTACCACTCTGGGTATAATGTAAAGTCTTGTGACAGTAGGGACCAATAACCTATCCCTAGTGCCTAGAGCACAACCTGGCCATATGTAGATGTTCAATAAATATACACACACATATGAATACACAGAATTAATGAATGAATTCATATTTAAATGCCTACTTTTCTCACAGTAGTTCTAAAAAAAGGGATATTTGAAACTGAATAACTAAGTGACAAACTTGGCTCTCCCACACTGTAACAATAATTAAAAATACTCTCATATTTAGATATGAATATTATTACACCATTTACCTCTCTTCCTTTGTATGTCACCAAGGCAGCGAGTGGTTTGGCGTAAAATCTGCTGTAGGAAAATCCCAGGCAACCATACATACTATTTGCAGTGAGCTTCAAAGCCTTCTGTCGAATGTCATACTGCAGGCCGCACAAGGACAAAAGACAAACAACAGTATTTGCAGATGTTTTAGCATTACATTAGGTCTCTTTCTACAACACCAATGAGAAGGAGAACCCCCTTGATATCTTTGGGGAGAAAAAAAGCACTCTTAATTAAAATAGCCAACCTGTCCTCCCAGATCCACAATGTCCCAACCTCCTAGAAGTAACTAAATACAGATTCCAAAGCTCCTAGAATTCAGAAAGATCTTGTTTAGATACAGCCTTTGCAGACAGTTGACTTCTATTCTGAGGCAATCTAGTGTTGAATGGCTACCTACTCACAAATAACGTAAGCACATGCACTTGCCCACAGTGTTGTTTATACCACCCCTAAAAAATCAAACTGCACAAGCTAACACTGTCATTCAGACATCTTGTAGTGAAAAGATATACCTGAAGAACAAGGTCTGGATTTAAATCTTGTTGCTTCATTAGCTGTTTCACATGTTTTCTCCTCTCCACCAGCTTCCGGATCTCTCTGGGCAAAATGCCCATTTCTAAGCCTGGCTCTGGCAACTCAGGGATTTGTTCTTGTTCTCCATCCTGATAAACACATAAAAGAAACTTCAGACAAGTTAAGTTTTGGTAAAATAAATTTCTAAAATAATATTTGGTAGGAACATCAGCCCATGATCATGTCTTAAACTTATCTTTGTTCTTCAAGTAGAGATCAATAATGCCTGGGCAATATAAGAAAGAGCTGACTGGGTTGCATGCCACTGCCCTTTTCTCCACACAAGTCTAGCAGCCTGTACTTCTCCTTATCTCATTCCTGAAGCTACTCACCAGTTAAGGGACAGACTTCTACACATGCTACCATGCTCTCTACAAAAAGATGGAGGAGTAAAATGTTTGGGTAATAGTTTTTAAAATTAAAATGCTCAGACTTCTAGGATTAAAAAAAAATAACCAGCTGCTAAACGATTTAAACGGTTTGTACAAGCAAACAAAATGCTATAAAATTTTAAAACTATCATAACAATTGTAGTAAATGTTTTAGACTGAAAATAAAAACCTAAATACTAAATCAGCAAATTTCTTTTAAGAATTTGGAGCACATTTAAATAGGCCATGACATTTTCTAAAAATTAGTAAAACATATTCCTTAGCATGTATGTAGTACCTTTTACCTATAAATTGCTTGGCAATTGACAGAAGAATAGCAACATTTTAGAAAGCAACCAGCAGTCTTCTTATATTAAAATTTATAGCAGGAAAAAGTAGGAAAAGCATTAGAGCATTTTTTTCAAGCTTCCATTAATTCTATTAACAGGCTACATTAAGAAGAAAAGCTAGGCACATTTGCCCTTTCAAACATTCAAAATTAAAAATAAACCTCTCTGCTTAAAGTATGGCAAGTCAATGCTATCTGATAACTCAGCCTTTACAAAGTGTCTGATTTTATAAAGATCAGTATCTTCAAGAATATGCACACTTTCAAGAGTAACAGGGACTTATTGTTTTCCAATATAGTACATGATGATCACAAAGCTACTAAAAAGATACTGGTATACACTCCAATTTATTTACAACCACCATGCGAGTCACATAAAAAGTAAACTGAAAAGATTCAGTCAGGAAATTTATAATCCACTCCCAGCTCTACCACTACTACCTATGTATCACTAACTACTGTGAAGATCAAGTGAGGTACAGCACATGAAAATGACAACAGAATCCATAACTGCTATTTGTATTTGTTAGATGACCTCTAAGGTCCTTCCACTCTGAAATGATTCTATTTTATCTTCAGAATCCAAACCGGAAAGCTCAAATAAACAAGAGTGGTAAGCGGCAGTTGGAGAAGCAGGCTGGATAATAATTATCCCAGTGCTGATACGGTAGTAGGACAAAGCCTTAAAAATATTAATCAAAGGCAATTACTGTTTTGGGGGGTTGTTTGTGAGTACCTTCTCCGTAAAATTATCCTCTAGTCTCCCAGAAAGGTATAACCTTAACAACCCGATTCACACTCTGTGAATCACTCCTACAGTCACAGGTGATGGAACCAGAGATGCTCACTGACCTAGGCAAGCCTAGCAAATTCTCCCTTCGGGGAATATGGAATTGAAATTGAAAATCTACTCCTAGACAGGAGGTCGGAAGTAACTGATATGTAAATTATGGAGCCAGAGGGCATATAGACATCTCAGCTATGAAGGGAGAGGGTGTACAGGAAGGAAGGACAGAAGGAATAAACAAAATGTGAATATTCCTGTCCCACATACAGACAGGAATATTATATCACAATACAAAGGAATGAGAAACGAATACATGCCATAACACAAATGAACCTTGAAAACAATGTTAAGTGAAAATATACCAGGTACAAAAGGCTATATACTGTATGACTCCATTTATACAAAATGTCCAGAATATGTACATCTCTACAGGAAGAAAGATTGCCTACACTGAGAGAGATGAAGGGATTAGCAGAGATGCCAGCTAAAAGGTTTCTTTAGAGAATAATGAAAATGCCCCAAAGCTAAATGTGGTGATGTTGCAAACTCTCTGAATATACAAAAAACTATTACTATACACTTTAAATAGGTCGCTGGTATGGCATATGATTTATACCTCAATAACACGGTTTTTAAAAAGATAGAACCAATCTGACTCTCCTTCTGCCCAATCCTTCTTTTTGACAACTACAAACGGCATAATTAATGTATCCTTTAAGAGTAAAAACTAAAATACCACTGTGGCTCTCTTCCTGCTTCAAGCAGTACTTTTTTTGGTTGCTGTTTGTTTTGCTTGTTTTGTTTGTTTGAAGTACTGGGGATTGAACCCAGGGCCTTCACAATGAGCTACATCCCTAGCAAGTTTTCTTGTTTTTGTTTTGAAGCAAGGTCTCCCTAAATTCACTAAATTTCCCAGGTTGGGATCAAACTTGCAATCCTCCTGCCTCAGCATCCCAGATTCCAGGGATTTACAGGTACATGCTATCATCCCCAGTAAGCAATACTTTAAACACAGATTTCAAGAGCCCCCAGCTAAATACAAACCTCTGCAACTTTCTGTGGCTCTGAAGCAACTCTCTGCACTGTTGTAAAACAAATATTAAATTCCTGAATTATGGAAGGATATAAACTATTGAAGTCCAGGAGCAAAATGAATTTATCATAAAAACCTGAAATAAAAAGGCACACATAATCATAAAAAGTCTGAAGAAAACCACTACCAAAACATATTAGAAGTACAATATAAGGTATGGTAAAAACTAAATACTATCCAGCACAGGGAAGCAGATAAAACAAATTAAAAGGTTGACTACCACACCACAAAATGATTTGGGTTAGAATGAAAACCCAGATCACAAACGGTCTAAAAGATTTTGTTTCTCCTTGGAACCAGCTATGAGTCCTTTACCTAGCAGACCCAAAGCGTACTATTCCTGTAGACAAACACCATCCCATGGCAATTATTTTAGAGAGCCATCATATCCGTTTTAAAAATGTGTTCTTAAGCTCTCCATCAAGCAATCATTCCTTCCCACCTACTATACCCCAACTAAAACCTCAGTGAGTGGTTATACATATTTTTTTATAATCAGACCTTTAAAGAAAATAACAGCCAACCCACTTACCCATACTGACAACACATTAAAAATCAGACAACAGATGCATATATAAATGTCAGAACGATACACCCTTATACCTTGCAAAGGGTGAACAGAAAGCTACTGTATTCTCTAGGACTTTCATAAGATGTTATCTTCACCTCAAGAAGAAACTGAATAAAAAGAAATGTCCACTATTGAGACAATATTAGTAAGGGCAAATACACTGACAGCTTACTCTGTCTCAGACAATCCAGCACAGTGATAAAACAAATAAAAAAGTTGACTACCACATCACAAAATGATCTGGATTAGAGTAAAACTCCAGATCACAAAAGGAGAGGTCTAAAAGATTTTGTTTAAACCTTTAAATCCCTCTGGGGTAGAAAACATTCATGGTGTTTTACAGAAGAGGAAACTGAAGTTTACAGGTTAAGCAGGCAGCTCAAGATTCCAAAATCAGCATTCAAATACAGATCTAAAACCAAAGTACTACTGTTCTGTGTCACTCCAACAAAACTGTTCTTGTCAAAAAACTCTACTTAAAGTGTTAATTGATATTAAGGGCCAGCCAGATAGCTCAGCAGATTAAAGCTCCTGCTTAGGCAGACACAGGGGCCTGAGATTTGATCCCCGGCCTGCTGTGCCAGCCCCACATCCCCGTCAGGGTGCACTGAGACAGCGATTAAGACTGTAATCCTAACACTTGGGAGGCTAAAAACAGGAGGATCACTACGAGTCAGATCTGTGTAGTGAGACCCTATAGACAATGTACTTAATACATTAAAAAAATAAAAGCACAATAATTTCTGAATGTGAAAATAATTACCAGAATTTTTTTAAAAATTCTAGCTCCATGTGCCACAAAACATCTTTGTTATTCTTCACAACAGGACAAAGTGATTCACTGTCCTGTTAATACTCAATTTGGTAGATTCTAGAACACTGGACACAGGCAGAGTTTCCCCCACCTACTCACACAGAAACAAGACAGAGATGTTCCCCAAAAAGGACAAAAAGCCAACTAAATCCAGGACCAAGGCTTGGCAAACTATGTGGAGACCACCAAACCCAGCCTACTGGCTGTTTTACTGCTGCTCATAAAATAAGTAGTTTTCCATTTTTAAGTGACTAAAAAAAATTAAAAAAACAGTATTTCAAGATACATAAAAATTTCATGAACTTTGAATTTCAATGTCCACAAATAAAACTATATTGAAACACAACAAAAATATTCACATTTATTCTATGTTAGGTGACTGGTAAATTAGATTTTCATAGGCATAAAAGAAATAAATTCATAATGAGACTTATTTGCTGACATCCAAGACAGTTCAGGTCTTCCACTCTTCCACCTTCTCACGCCTAGCTCTGTGAAGAAATTCTTCTACTCTAGGTGCAAAACAACCCACTGGCCATCCTTACCAACTTTGGGATCCAAAACCAAGCCTCCAGCATAAGCTGCCTTCTTGCGTCCTTTCTTGTATTTATTGGTATCTCCATCAATTTCTTCCTCCTCATCTCTCTAACATCAAATGGAAAAATAACTTCATTGACCAGCAACTAATTAACTAAATAACATTATTTCCTCTCTTCCAGTTATATTTTGAGTTCTAACACATGTTACTTACTTTTAGTCAATAGTGCTACCTGTGGGGAGAAACAGTTATAACCATGGTAGTTACTAAATAAATCCCATGAGTTAACAAACGTACAAATTCTACTTTCATATGTTGCTGAATTCACAAAAATTCTGTATTTATTAATCAATGAATATAAAAAATATATTTTATATTATAAAAACTAATACTGTAATAGGGTTCTCTATTCATTACTTTGATATTCATGATGTAGAAATATAAAATACTTCATTAGGTATTATCACTTTTCTCTTTTCCTCTAATATTCTGGAGAATATGTGGCCCAGTTGACCTCAAACTTCCAACCCTTCTGCCTCATCCTCCCAAGTGGTAACATAACAGGTGTCACCAACCTTGGAACATTACTGTTTTGAGATGAGGTTTCTCTATGTTTCCCGTGGTGGCATTAAACTCCTGAACTCAACTATTCTCCTACCTCATCTCCCATGGAACTAGGACTATGAACACATCACCACATCTAGCTTCTTTTTATTACTAGCATGAATACCTTGAAATACGTATGCTCATATACTGAAAATCCATTCCCAAATAATAGCCAACAACCAACACTTCTGCAGAAGTTAAATAGCTCTAAATTAAAAATTGCTATGCCAATTTTGATGTCATAAAGCCAGGAAAAACAATAACTTGCATCATCTTTTAACATTCAATTCCCATTCTAAATCAAGTATTATCAATGCTGATAAAGCAACAGCAAAGCTAGGTTTTAGATCAAATGTCATAGAAGGCCAAGGCCACTGATACAGGCTAAATATCCCCAATCTGAAAATCTGAAATGCTGAAACATGTTAGTATCAACATGATGCTATAAGCAGAAAATTCCACACCTGACCTGAATGTAACAGATTCCAGTCAAACTAAAAACATTGTGTCCAGTTAACATCAGGCTGTTTGTATAAGGTGTATATGAAAATAAGTGAATTTTGTAATTAAACTTGGATCTCATCCAAAATCTGAATCAAATCTGAAACACTTTCAGATTAGGGATACTCAATGTTTACAGAAAAATGCAACATAAAAATTAAGGCTCATAGGTTCAGGGAAATAAAAGGCTTAACTGACATTTAGCTTTGGGCTTTAGGCAGGAAAATACTTTCTATGTACAGTCCTTTATCGGAGATCTAAATGTTGCCTTCAAAGAATTTCATATTTCACAAATAAATTTGTCTTCATAGAGAAAAGCAGAGAAGGAGACAACCACACAAACACACTTGACATGGTTTCTAGTACACAGAGGATTAATTATTTGAAAACAGATGTTATCACAACAAAAAAATAAAAAGCTATCTAGGTAATAAAAAGGAGGGACAAGAAAAGGCAAAATACTATATAATTTCAGACCCACCAGTTTTTGCTGAGGCTTTCTGAAAATCTGCTTGTCAGGCACAATATAGTTGTTTTCATAAAATGCATGCAGCAACAAGAACTCGTTACGTTCAGACCGTCCACCCATCAGTGTCCTGGACTATTAAATAGAATTTCTCTTTAAAATTTGAGCTCAAAAGTGCAACAAACAAAAGCAACTCTGAATTGGTTCCTTTAATCACGATGCCTCCTTCAAAACTACTAACAACAAAGGCTGCTTTTAAAACTATTAAATTATTTCTAACATTTTCTTTAAGTTCTATGGTTAAAGGAGACAAAGACAGCGTAAAATATTGACAAATTGACTATTTCCTTACTCCAAAATGGACCACTCCACCAAAGAGAAACATCCAGATGTTAGAGAGATGATCCTTATTTTTGCCTAAATTTCAACACACTGCACCTGGCATTCCTCCCCCTCTCCCAACCAGTTCTTCCTTTTACAAAAGAAACCCAGCTTTCAGAATCCAAGTTACTCATTTTATAAGCATGCATTTAGACTCATTATCATATAACAACTACCCCAAGCAAACACTGAATCCAACAGGAAATGCTTTTTCCCCCTTTCTAAGTTAAATTTACCATAATGTTTCCAGCGATGTTAGTGATCTGCAATGCTAATGGAAGAACATTTAGCTCACACATGATCTGCAAAATGAACTTGGCATCTTTCCAGGTGTGTTCCAACAGGTACAACAGATGAGAAGATTCACTGTACAGAAAAGTAAGAATGAAACAGAATCAAGTAATTAAAAGAAACAATGACTATAATCAGAACTTCATATAATATCACAAATTTTTGGTGTAACTAACTTCAGAGCAGCAGAACCTTGGCTTTAGAAATGATTTAAAATAGATCAGTATATAATTAGTAATTCATTCATAGCACTGATCCTAGTGCCCTTCTCTGAAACACACACACACACACACAAAAATTCCAGTTACATGTTAACTATGAACCTGAAAACTATCTAAATCCTTTCATTCATTCAATCAAATAAGTACTGCATATTTACTATGTGTCAAGCATTGGCTGTGACCAAAAGAGACAGAAATTCCTATCTTTATGGAGGAGTATAAAAAAATTAAAAATGGTATGTTATACGATGCTAAGTGTTAAGCAAAGAGAATATAAAGTATCAGGAGCAGAAAGTAAACTTTTAGAGAACTGAGGAAAACTTTACCGAAAATAAAGACATGAAAGAAGTGAAAGAATGAACCTTCTATATGGGGACCTGAGGGAAGATCATTCTGGGAGAAGAGAGTAACACATTCAAGGGCTTTAAGCTGGGCAGCAGTTTTATGATGTGGAAGGATATCAATAAGGCCGGACTAGGGAGCATGATGGAGAGTAGGAGATAAAAGTCAGAGTTAACAGAGCAGAGGCATTGGGAGATTTTGAGCAGATTTAATTTTTATTTATTTATTTATTTATTTATTTATTTAGTGGTACCAGGGATTGAACTCAGGACCCTGCGCTTGCCAGGCAAGCGCTTATTCTACTGAGCTATCTCCCTGGCCCCAGAGCACATTTAATTTTAGCAGGACAATTCTGGTCCTGGGTTGAAAACAGACCCCAAGGTGAGCACAAAAGCAAGGGGATTAGTATATAAGACCCAGTGCTATGGTTTGACCCCTCTGAAACTCAGGCTGATATTTAAGCCTTGTTGTGAGGCGTTATGAGAGTGAAATCTCAAATAACCCATGAGTTAATACCAGGGGCTTATATGAAGGAAAGACAGGCAAGGATACCCACATGTACCCTCTGTCACCAGGCGATGCTCTGCACCACCTAAGCCTTCCCAGGAAGAAGGGAATCACCTAATGCAGCTACCAGACCTTAGATCTCCAGCCAAACTTAACCTTCTTCCTTTAAAACTTGTATCATGCTTTTAGCAACACAAAATGGTAGTTTAGACCAGTATAGGTCCAATGCAGGCGAAAAAAAGTGGTCAGAGCTAGATAGATAGATAGATAGATAGATAGATAGATAGATAGATAGATAGATAGATAGATTTGTATTTTTTAGGAAAGGGTCTACAGGGTGCTCAAGGTCTCACTACTAGATCGGACTCGTAGTGATCCACCTGTTCACAGCCTCCCAAGAGCTGTGCGCCACCACGCCCAGTCTATGAGCTAGATATATTTACAAGATATAGCTGACAGAA